GACCTGACTTATGCCGCGCCTGCGGCACGTCTCCGGCAAGGCACGAAAATAGAGCCCTATGTGTGAACATGTACAGCAGAACCTTTTTCTGGTTGCTAAGTATACGTGTGTATGTATGGGTGTGCATGTGTATGGGGGCATATACACTCACCGGCCACTTTATTAGGTACACCTGTCCAACTGCTCGTTAACACTTAATTTCTAATCAGCCAATCACATGGCTGCAACTTAGTGCATTTAGGCATGTAGACATGGTCAAGACAATCTCCTGCAGTTCAAACCGAGCATCAGTATGGGGAAGAAAGGTGATTTGAGTGACTTTGAACGTGGCATGGTTGTTGGTGCCAGAAGGGCTGGTCTGAGTATTTCAGAAACTGCTGATCTACTGGGATTTTCACGCACAACCATCTCTAGGGTTTACAGAGAATGGTCCGAAAAAGAAAAAATATCCAGTGAGCGGCAGTTCTGTGGGCGGAAATGCCTTGTTGATGCCAGAGGTCAGAGGAGAATGGCCAGACTGGTTCGAGCTGATAGAAAGGCAACAGTGACTCAAATAACCACCCGTTACAACCAAGGCAGGCAGAAGAGCATCTCTGAATGCACAGTACGTCGAACTTTGAGGCAGATGGACTACAGCAGCAGAAGACCACGCCGGGTGCCACTCCTTTCAGCTAAGAACAGGAAACTGAGGCTACAATTTGCACAAGCTCATCGAAATTGGACAATAGAAGATTGGAAAAACGTTGCCTGGTCTGATGAGTCTCGATTTCTGCTGCGACATTCGGATGGTAGGGTCAGAATTTGGCGTCAACAACATGAAAGCATGGATCCATCCTGCCTTGTATCAACGGTTCAGGCTGGTGGTGGTGGTGTCATGGTGTGGGGAATATTTTCTTGGCACTCTTTGGGCCCCTTGGTACCAATTGAGCATCGTTGCAACGCCACAGCCTACCTGAGTATTGTTGCTGACCATGTCCATCCCTTTATGACCACAATGTACCCAACTTCTGATGGCTACTTTCAGCAGGATAATGCGCCATGTCATAAAGCTGGAATCATCTCAGACTGGTTTCTTGAACATGACAATGAGTTCACTGTACTCAAATGGCCTCCACAGTCACCAGATCTCAATCCAATAGAGCATCTTTGGGATGTGGTGGAACGGGAGATTCGCATCATGGATGTGCAGCCAACAAATCTGCGGCAACTGTGTGATGCCATCATGTCAATATGGACCAAGCTCGCTGAGGAATGCTTCCAGCACCTTGTTGAATCTATGCCACGAAGAATTGAGGCAGTTCTGAAGGCAAAAGGGGGTCCAACCCGTTACTAGCATGGTGTACCTAATAAAGTGGCCGGTGAGTGTATATTCAGAGACACAGCAGGCATGAGGATAGATGCAGACACATATGCCACTCTCCTGCTGTATTATACTTTTATCTATTGTATTTTTTTTTCCATTTTTAATATAATATATTCTCTCTATTTCTGCATGATGAGTTGAAGATTTTTTTTTTTTTTCCTGTGTATGCTCTCACATATGGCAGAAATTGGCAATAAAAAGCTTCAACCTTGATTGACAATTAAAGTTAGAATACCTTGTTATAAAGAAGGCTAAATGTTGAAAATACTCCCACAGAACTTATGGTTCTATTTCTACAGTTTTAATAAAAGCTTTCTATAAACATCTGTAACATTTGAACAAAAGCTACAGGGAGTTTTAATTGTTTTAATTTTCACAAACCAACAGACAGAGGAACACTGAACCACACACTTCCACTTGATCAAATTTAGTCACACGGATGCATTCAAGACAACTGTGTCGCTGATTTACCGGCGAACAATATAATTGCCTCCCCTGACACATCAGCAGGAGAGTGGGAACTTTGATTAGAACAGCCATCCTTTTGCAAGTGGGATAATTTCTAGAAAATTTCATTAAAACGAAATTGAAGCATCTTTCACCCGTTTGTTTCCCCTGTAGGTACTCAAACATGCTCCGAGGAACTGAAGGAATGTTAATTATACCTTGTACCATGCTGAAAATATTGTGCTGGATGGGGTCAGACAGGGATGCTGCATGGAAACTCAGATGAGTGGTAGAGATTTTTATTTATTTATAGATTTAAATAGTGAAATGTTTAATCAGATTAATCACAGGGTTGCTATGGATTAGTTTTGATATATCATTTATCACTTGATACATGCTGTCAAGTCTCAAATTCACTGTTGGCAAGTTCACTCAGCCACAGCTCATTGTCAGATGTAGAGACAGCATGGAGCCATAGCGTGATGCAAGTAGTTAAAGCTGCTGGAAAGCAGGCTGGTCCACAGCAGTAAAACATCTGCAGCAGTGATCCAGAGGAACCCACAGAATGATGGAGCTCAGGGACTCCCACAAAAGACTGTGTATGAGGCTATGTTCAGACTGCAGGGCTTAATGCTCAATTTTACTTTTTTGCTCAAATCCGATTTTTTGTTTGGCTGTTCACACTACCATCTATAATGTGACCTGAATCAGATTCCAATGTGAACTGTTTGTGACTTGTAGCTGCCTGCATGCGCAAAAGAACAATGAAACATACAGATGAAGCACACTGTTGCATCTGCACAAATGTAAACACGGAGGAAGGTAGTATTATATCTAGGTTGTCCACTGAACTTGATCCACTCCTCTGAGATTCAGGCTCCTCTTCACCTGCTTCACCGTGGTTACTTTTTGCTAATACTGCACCCACTTTTTCTGTGTCTCCGTTTGGCAAGTTGTTTCGATATACAGACAGGTTATGATATGAACCCTCAAGCTTTGCTTACATGCTTATCAGGTCCAAGACCTTGTTGTCCCTCCACTAACTTGCTCAATTATTGCTATCCTCTATTTTTGCAAGGCTGCCACAACACAGAATGTTGCTGTAAATAGTGATGTGAATGTATAAAATGCACATCAAATCCGCCTAGGCTGTTCACACTCAGGTTGCATTGAAAAAATCAGATCTGTATCAGATTCAGGACCACATATGGAAATGGCCCAAATCTGATTTAAAAATATCAGATTTTGGCCAGATTGGAGTGTTCACACTGCCTCTAAAAATTCTGACCTGGTCACTAGACCCCCCCCCCCAAAAAAAAAAAAAAAAAAAAAAAGATTTGGCCCACTTTTGCCTGCAGTGTGAATGTAGCAGTGTCTCTAATGGGACACACTAAGTATCTGTGATAATAATAATAATAATAATACATTTTATTTGTAAAGCGCTTTTCAAAGACACAAAGACGCTGTACAGAGTAAGCAGTAAAAACATACATCAATAAGTAAGAAAATTTACGGCAATATAATCAAAAACATGTAATCAGGTAAAATCAAATAACAATAAAACACACATAAATGAGTAATAAAATTTACAACAATGTCAATAAAAACATGTAGAATCAGGTAAAATCTAATGGGGGGGGGGGGTTAGGAGGGATGAAAGGCAGTGCGGAAGAGGTGGGTTTTGAGAAGGGTTTTGAATCTGTTGAGGTCAGTGCAGTTTTTGAGTTCAAGTGGGAGTGAGTTCCAGAGGGTGGGGGCGGCGACTGAGAAGGCTCTGTCCCCCCAGGTTCGGTGCTTGGTCAGGGGAACTGTGAGGAGGTTGGCATTGGCGGAGCGGAGGGTGCGGGAGGGGATGTAGGGGTGGAGAAGATCCTGTAGGTAGGGGGGCGAGGTTGTGGAGTGCTTTGTGGGTGAGGAGGAGGATTTTGTATTGAATGCGGTGGGGTATGGGGAGCCAGTGAAGGTTTTGGAGGACGGGGGTGATGTGTTGATGGGAGCGTGTGTGGGTGAGGAGGCGGGCGGCTGAGTTCTGGATAAGCTGAAGTTTGTTGAGGAGAGTGGAGGTGGTGCCATAAAAGAGACTGTTGCAGTAATCTAGACGAGATGAAATGAATGCATGTATAAGGGTTTCAGCTGCAGGGTAGGAGAGGGAGGGGCGGAGGCGGGCAATGTTTTTGAGGTGGAAATAGGCTGTTTTAGTGATTTGCTTAATGTGTTGGGTGAAGGAGAGGTTGCTGTCGAAGAGAATGCCAAGGTTGCGACAGTGGGAGGAGGGGGAGAGGATGGAGTTGTTGATGGAGAGATGAAAGTTTGTGACTGTGGAGGTGAGGGAGTTTGGGCCAATGATGATGAGATCAGTTTTGTCATAATTGAGTTTAAGAAGATTGCTGTCCATCCAGTGTTTGATGTCAGAGAGGCAGTTTGAGAGGGAGCGTTGGGTCTGGGGGGTGATGGAGTTGGAAGAGATATATAATTGAATGTCATCAGCATAGCAGTGGAAGTGGAGGTTGTGTTGATGGAGGATGTGGCCAAGAGGGAGGAGGTAGATGATGAAGAGGAGGGGACCAAGCACTGAACCCTGGGGGACACCTTGGGACACGGGGGCGGTTGTGGAAGAGCAGTTGTTAATATGGATGAAGTGATTCCGGTCTGTGAGGTAAGAGTGGATCCAGTTAAGAGCGGTGTCTGTGATATTGAGGAGGGAGTGTAGGCGGGACAGAAGGATGGCATGGTCGATGGTGTCGAAAGCAGCGGAGAGGTCGAGGAGGATGAGGATGGAGAGTTGGCCAGAGTCAGCAGAGATGAGGAGGTCATTTGTCACTTTTATGAGGGCAGTTTCGGTGCTGTGGTGGGTGCGGAATCCTGATTGGAACTGTTCATATAGGTTGTTATTGCTGAGGTGGGTTTTGATTTGTGATGCGATGACACGTTCGAGGATTTTTGACAGGAAAGGGAGGTTTGAGATGGGCCGGAAGTTACTAATGTCATCGGGGTTGAGTCCGGGTTTTTTGAGGATGGGGGTGACAGCAGCCAGTTTAAGTGACGGGGGAACAGTGGCGGAGTTGAGGGAGGAGTTGATGATCTGTGTTATGACTGGGGAGATGACGGGGAGGCAGTGCTTGATGAGGGAGGATGGGATGGGATCGAGGATACAGGTGGATGAAGACATGGAGCAGATGATATTAGTCACGTCGGTTGAGGAGACAGGTGAGAAGCAGGAGAGTGCTGATGGGATGAGGGGAGGAGGGGAGGAGCAGGGAATGGAGGGTGGGGGAAGGGAGTTATAGATTGCATTGATTTTGGTTTGAAAAGAGGAGAGGAATGTGTTGCATTTTTCCGGGGTGAAGGTGATGGAGGTACTGTCTATGGGGTGGAGCAGTTTTTTGACGGTGGAGAAAAGAGCCTTTTGGTTGCTGGAGCCGGAGTTGATGAGGTTGGAGTAATAGGATGAGCGGGCGGATTTGAGGGCTGTTCTGTATAGGTGGAGGTGGTCGGTGTAGGCTTGGAGATGGACAGTGAGACCGGTTTTGCGATATAGACGTTCCAGTTGGCGTTTATGGGATTTCATTTTGTGTAGTTCTGAAGTATACCAGGGGGCAGAGTGTCTGAATGAAACTGTTTTTGTTTTGAGAGGTGCGAGCTGGTCCAGGCAGGAGGATAGAGTGTTGTTGTAGTAGTTGAGTAGGTCAGGAAGTTTAGCAGATGGTGAGGGAGGGGATGCAGTGAGGGTGGCAGATAGGGAAGCTGAGAGGTCCTGTGGTGAGATGAATTTGAGGTTTCTGAAGGTAATTTGTCGTTTTTCACTGTGGGGCAGAGGGGGGAGGTCGACGTTGAAAGTGACAGCCAGGTGATCTGATATATAGAGGTTGGTGGTGGAGAGATGGTGGATGGAGATGCCGGTGGAGCAGACGAGGTCGAGGGTGTGGCCATGGGAGTGGGTGGGGGAGTGCACGTGCTGGGTGAGATTGAGGGTGTCGAGGAGATCCAGGAAATCAGAAGCTTGTTTGCAGGTGGGGTTGTCAATGTGAAAGTTGAAGTCTCCAAGCAGCAGGACAGAGGATGAGATGGTGTTTAGGTGGGTGACAAATTCAGAGAAATCCGAGAGGAATGATGGGTGGGGCTTTGGGGGACGGTAGATAGTAACAATGACCAGAGGGGTGGGGCCAGGGAGTTTGACAGAGATATTTTCAAATGAGTGGAGGGACAGGGTGGGGGCGGGGGTGGTCTTGAGGGTTTGTTTGTAAATAACTGCGACGCCTCCGCCTCGTCCAGTGAGGCGGGGTTGGTGCAGATAGGAGTAACCGGGGGGGGTGGCTTGGTTGAGTGGAAAGAGGTCGAGATGGTTGTGCCAGGTTTCAGTTAGATAGAGGAAGTCCAGGTTATTGTCTGTTATGAAGTCAGCTAGGATGTGTCCTTTGTTATTGAGGGAGCGGGTGTTTTGAAGGGCCATCTTCTGGGGTGGGGGCTGTGGGGTGGGCAGTGAGGCAGGGGGAAGGTAGCGGAGATTTGATAGATTTCTTGTCCTTCTTTTTGGATGCATGGGATTTGAACGGGAGGTTCCAGTAGTTGTAATTGTTTTAATTGTTTGCAATGGTTTGCAAGGAGAGTCTATGGTTGAAGGGTGTAGTAGCTGTTTGGACCAGGAGGGGGAGCTTGATGTGGTGGGGGCAGTGGGGATGGTGCGCAGTACCAGTTGGGGCCTGCTGGGGGAGCCGGTGGTGAGGGTGGTGAGGGCGAGGGTTCCGGAGGGGGGCCTCAGGGGGGCGCTGTTTCCAGGTGGGGTAGTGGGAGAGGATGACAGGGAGTATGTAAACAATGATAGTCAGTTGGTGTGTATGTGGTGTTGGATATTAGCGGCAAGTGTCTGATGGCCCAGTTTGTTTGGGTGAAGTCCGTCATTAGAAAAGAATGGGGGTCGGTTCCAGAACAGGTTAAAATTGTCTATGAAGTGGGTGGAGAGGGTGCTGCAGAGGGCTCGAAGCCAGGAGTTTAGGCTGAGGAGGCGGCTAAAACGATCGATGCTGCGTGTTAGTGTTGGAAGAGGGCCACTTATAAAAACAGTTTTGCCACTGCGCTCAAGGCTATCTAAAAGAGTCCTGAAGTCTTTTTTTGTCTGTTCAGACTGTTGGTGAGCCGTGTCGTTTGTGCCAACGTGGACAATGATGCGGTGAATAGAGGCAGGAAGTGATTGGAGAAGACCGGGGAGTTTAGCTGTGATGTCGGCGACAGTAGCACCGGGGAAAGAGCGAGTGATGGCATTAAAATAACGAATACCTCGTATGATGCTGTCACTGATGATCAAGGTGGTGGGGGGAAACAGCGGCGGGGGGTGCATTGCTCCTGTGTCCGAAGCAGGGCTGGTGGTCGGGGTACGGGGACTCAGCGGTGCGGTGGATACGGTGGATGCTAGCGGCTGCGGGGATGGTCTGCCACTTCGGTCCAGGGCAGCTGAAACAAGCCCGGCGGAGTTCCGTCGGACTGCGTCCCGGAGAAACCTCCTGCGGGCGGCCGAGGACGCGGGCCGGCTCTCCGAGCGGTGGTCAAGGCGGGTTCCGGGACACTGCGCGCGACCAGGGACCGACGGAGAAGGGTTCCCTCCGCCAGTGCCAGGCCACACGGGAATCCCACTGTGCGCCGGCAGGGAGGTGTTCTTAGCGCCAGCGCCCGGTGACGCCCGGGAGCTGGTTGCCAGAAGATCGGAGGCTACCCGGTCCTCGAGCCGGCACGCCGCGAGGGCACCGGAGGACGTGGACGAAGGCCCGGGGGCTCCGCCGGGTGGCCGTGTAGGAGCCATGGGAGCTCCGGCAGCCGCTGCAGAGGACGCCACCACGTCACCGTCGAGAAGGGACTGGTCCATGCTGGTGTTGGCAGGCTCAGGAGGATTCTCACGAGCCTCGAAGCGGCTTGGAGTGGAGCTTGAGGTAGGCCCGGCCGGGTTCCAGGGGGTGGTGTTAGTGATTTTCCTGCCGCGTGTGGTTATTTCAGTCCATGTTGAGTCGTGGTTGGATGCAGCGGTGGATGGTGGTTTGGACGTGGTGGACGGGCTTTGAGGCTCCCAGGGTAGCGTGTCCTGGAGGGTTGATTGGAGCGAGAATAGGTGGAGGGATTGCTGGTGGGCCACATCAATGCAGGTTGTGAGGAGAGTGGATTTTGACTTAAGCTCATCGGAGAGTTTTTGAATGCGGAGTTTAAGTTTGGTGATTGTTTTGTTTGCTTCGTGAAGCGCTTCAGTCTTTTCCATGAGTAGGGACTCGCTCGCTCTCTCGCTCATGCTCGCTCTCTCGCTCATGCTCGTGATGCACTGCGATACTCTCCCTAAACCTAGTCTATGCCTATCATCTTGTGTATTTCCTTCTTGCTTGAGTACAAGAAATCATGGCAACTTAAGCTTTGCATGGTATTTTAATATAGTAGAGTGGTCGGTTATATACAGTAGATATTTCAGTTCTTGCAAAGAGGAAAAGAGAGGATGTTGAAGGAGGTTGAAGGACTGTCTGGCAAGACGGCGGCATGACTTGAGTCTATCATTTATAAATGTTAGTATGTAATGATTAATCAAGCATTTGAAACAGCTGTGTGGTGATTATCTGTGAATGTTTCTTTCAAAGTGAAATAGATATTTGACAGAGAGTAATTGAAATGAGAGCTGAATAATATGTAATAGGTCTATGAAAGAGAATATGCCTCAGCAGTCTAAGCCTGAATACAGAGGCTTAGCCTTTCTGAATTGAAGCACAGTTACAAAGTGAGATACAGACACTGAGTGGCCTGTCACATCCTCTGCTCAGGGTTAACTGCAGTAGCAGCAGTTCACAGAGTCCTTCCCCTGTATTAGTCTAAAAGCAGGGAGTTGAACTGACAGAGATGTTCTGCTTACAGTCCTGCCTGTCACTGTGAGTGCGTCTGCGTGCGGCTGCAGGCATTAACTCAGTGTAAATGCCAACAGCATCCATCAAACTGAAGGTCAGACATTTACACTGACCTTTAGACCCACTCTGTCTGTCTCCATAACTCTCCTTTCTTTACGACCTCTCCAATCCTGTCCTTATTTCTCTCTTTTGACTTGGTTAAATCCCTCTCTTTCACCACTTCTTTATGTCTGAGATGAATTATTCAAATAGGTAAAGCAGAAACACCTGAACACATCTGCAAAAATGTATAGTCGGACAGCTCATGTAATGCACAGTTTAATAGTCTTAATTCCAGGCTAAGCAGACTCAATATTTAGTAAGAGACTGTGTAAGTGGTTTTGATATTTCTTTGAAGAGCAGGGTGCAAACCACCACAGTATTCTTCTTGCATAAAATCTCAGTTTGCAAACTGTCATCCAGCTTTGTAAAAAGACCAAGCCTTTGACTACATCAGTTTTTGCTCCTTCACACTAATTCAGATGGTGTTACATCAAAGTGATAGAGATGAGGAGTGCTCTCTTCCCTGGTGGTCTCTATGGTCAAGTATTTCCTGGAAGGAGGCGTCATAAAGAGCAGTCAGGATCCCGGCACTCACACTTTACACGAACCCTTCATCGATCAGACTAACCAGAAGTATAGGTTTCAACCTCTGTCTTCATTTATCTTCCTCCTCTGTCCGCTCGTGTTTTCCCTCTGCAGTTGTGGTTCTATCTCTGTTTTGACTGCTGTGCTCTGCTTAAGAGTAAATTCATTCCAACTCAATTTAACATACTTTCATACTGAAGATGAAATGTCATTTATTTTATTACAATTTAAAGCTTGCTCACAAAGATACTTGGTTCAGCCAGTCATAAACAGTACAATTTCAATCACCAAACTCAAAATTAAACCAGAGGGACTGTGCAGACCCTAAACCTTAGAATAAAATCATTTTTTACAAGTTGTTACTCATACGCCAAAACTTTTGCACCTTAATTCATGCATATTTTATCACTTCTGTGGTTGTGATTACTCAAAACAGAAATATCTGTACCACTTAAATCGACATTGTCACTCTAAAGTAATTCTGTTGCCACTTGTGTGTAACAATTTACCCATAGTATCTCTTAGTGTACATCTGTCAACTGGTCTCATTGCCTCAGGCTTTTCCCACTTTTTTGGTCTTTGTAATGGCTGAAGCCACACGAAGGTGACGCCACTCCAGCCAGACTGTCACCTCATTAGTTTCCCAACACCATCCTTAGTTGCAACACCTGTTTTTACTTGCTGTCAATCACACAATCAACATACACAGTCTGTTAAGTATTATCTGTTGTTTGTATTTGATCTGACATTATATATCATAAGATATATGATGTAGTGTGTTGATTTGAAGGGATGACATTTAAGGTGTGGCCAAGATGAGGGAAAGTCCTGGTAAAAGCTTTCAGTCCGAGACCTGCACTAAAATATGCTTCAATCTGTTCAGCCCTGATGGCTGAATATGATATGAGACCACATATTTTACCTGATCGAGAATCAAAAAAAAAAGGAATTTTAAATTGAACCTCAAAAACTATTACTCAATAGCTGATTGTCAACTTCCTTAGTTTTGATAGAAGAATTTAAAAAATGATCAAAAGATTAAGGATAAAGGTCATCTTAACCTATTGTAAAATCTGAAATAAAAGTTGTACTGTTACAGTTTGTCTTCAGGTGTCTTCCTAAAGAAAAAAGAATTAAAATGTCTTTTGCTGCAAAGACTGGGATTGTGTTTAACTCTGTCCACTAGGTCTCAATTGTGAAACGTAAGCAGAAGGAATTAGTGTGAAATGTACTTATGATACACTGTTAATCAATATTCCTATAGCTCTGATTTATTCCTATCTAGCATCACAATACCTGCCTCTAACCACTTGAAGAGCCTTGTGTAAGTAAAGAATACACAGAAAAATTTCTATTATCAGAAATAACTATTCAAGTCCATACTGTGATCTGTTATCCTCACAACAGACAGAAACTTTGAAACACGTGATTTAAAAATGAACAAAAATTTAACATATAATGCATTTGGCAGATTTAAGCTTACAAGTAAACAATTTACAGGCAGAAAATGTGTACCTAAACTCAGAGGTAGTTTCAGAGAGTCAGTGTATTGAAGACAGCTGCTGATCATATTATGTCACCAGGATGGAGTCTTTGCTTGACAGTTATCCATTTAGCTTTGTGTAATTCTGCATCTTGCTGTCATATTTAAAAATCCTGATGTGGTTTCAATGCTCTTGTTTGAATTACAGCTAATTTCTACAGGATAGTTGCGTAAGAGTATCGGAGGAGTAGAAAGAAAGAGCAGACAGGGACAGACAAAATAGAGGTAGAAATGATGAGAAGAAGAGAGAGGAATAGGAGAAAACACAAAAAACAAAAGTCGTATTCCTCTTTGCTGTTTACAGCTCTCCACAAAGAATGCCTGAATTAAACTCCCACTCCCTGAATAACAAAAAAAGACAATCATATCCAGACACAAGGAACACAGGCTGACAGAAACACAAGAGGATTATGCAGACAAAAAGAAAAAGGAAATAATTACGTAACAAATAAAATGTCATACGCTCACAATCTGACCTTTTCTGAAATAAACAAGCTCGTACAGAAATAGAACAGACCTTGGCTTCTTCATACATCCAGTGTAAATGGAGGCAAAGCTTCAAAAAGTAAAGATATCTTTCCACCAGAATTGCAACTATCAGATATAGCGTGATACATATAATATCACACTATGTGGTTGTAATATTAATGAACCCCCATGGATTACAGCACAGAGGAAAATGGGAGGCAACTCTGTCTAATGGCTCTCTAAATGCTTCTTCTCTGCCTATTTCAGCTCTTTTAGTTCAGCCAGTATCTCTGTTTCTTTTCACTACCCCAATTACCCAACCGCTGCCAGTTCACCCTGCAGCAAAAACCTGCTATGAAACTTTAGTGGGTGTAAAAGTGGCAGAGCCTTTAAATTAAAATCTTAATCTTACATACAATGGGTGTCATACATAAAATGTAAGTATATCATACATAGGCTTCAATAAATATCCTCAGTACTGTGAACCTGAACTAGATTCATGCACACCACTAAAACTCTGATTTGATTGTAAGTACATGGTCATAAATGTCAATCAACTGTCAAGTCACAGCACGCTCCTGCTGGTTAGCATTCAACATATATTTCCACCTATTAATCACCGAGGAGCACCATACAAGGGTGTGGGAGCCTGGGCCTCCTGTGAACAGGGGAAAAACAGAGAGGGAGAGAAGGAAAGACAGAAAATTTAGATAGAGATCGAAGTTGTTTCAGAAGATGTAATTTTGAGAAAAACAGCTTTTTTAAAAATCTCCTGTGGTGTGACAATGCCTTCTCAACACCATTGGTGCGCTCTGCAACAGTCTGAGGTGCCGCTTGGGCTTCATTATAAATCACCTCTTAGGGTGTGTGGTGGGCCACTGGAGTTATAAGCCCTGTCTTCAGTCGATAACCTCTGTTTCCTTTGTGTTGAGAGATTAGGCCTCTGCATATTAAAGATGCACAGAGCCCTCTGGTGCCAGGTCAAGAAAAAAAAAGGCCCAAGCAAATTTGTGGGTAGGGATTACAGTCCCACTGCAAAGATCTTCCAGTGAGAATATAACCTGTTACTCTCACTGCTACCTGAGGAATGACTACTCCACTGTTGCTCAAGATGATGCTGTGGTGTATCCCACCAGGCCACCAAGACACAACACATTTCTGTCACATATAAGGTGCACATTTATATAAGCAGGTGGGGGGACATACATGTACAGTCTAAAACACCAATGGCAATATAATTTGGTATTTTGGTGAGCAGCGCAGCCCGGCGTAAGTATCCCCCCTCCCTAACTCAGCTCCTCCCAGCGGCGTAAGTCGTAGAAAGGGAGGCGAGAAGGCGTGGAGTGGCTC